GCGGAGATGCAGAGAATGGAGAGGAGGTGCAAAGACTGGAGGAGGAGGAGGTGTTTCGAAGGGATGGAGGAGGCGTTGAGGCACCATTTTTAGCGTTAGGGCTTTCTTTTGGGTGCGTGAGAAATTTTGGAGGCCCTCACATAAGTTTAAGGAACTGAGATTAGTCTTTGGCTAATTTTTAATATTAAAATTAAGAAAAATGACTTAAGGACCCAAAATATGTGACCAAAAGAGGGGATAGGTGAGGTGTTCCCTATCTATTGCATAATGAGTTGGCTATGCCAACTCATTATGCAATAGATAGGGAACACCTCACCTGTCCCCTCCATTGGTCCCATATTTTGGGTCCCCGTAGTAACACTCTAAAAATAATTGACATTAGAGTCACATTAACAATGGTTATGACATCTTTTGTTTTTAAAGAGTCCTACTAACGACGGTATGAGGACTAAAATGACGAAGGATCTAAAGAACCATAATTGGATCTCACTTCACTTATTTAATATTTATGAAAACTTGATAAAGGTTTGTGAACCTGTTGTTATTGTAGATATGTTAACAAATCGTTTACTAATACATTCATTATTTTAAGCTAGGAGGCAGGGAGTTCTGTACTGGGTTTGATCCTGTGTCAACAAATTTTGGTAGAATTTGTATATTAATAGCATAACGTTTCTTCAATCTGTCTGAAGTTTTATGAGATTTATCCATGAATTTGTTTTCCTCCTTTCTTCAAGCAATTTAGGTTGACACTGGGTAATCTAATTTCATAAATGTCAGTATCTAGTTAATAGTTGAATGGTTCCGAATTTTCCTAAGGCAACACTGTAGTTCAACAGATATAATCCTTTGCTGAATGTATATGTTTTAAGCTTTGAATTTTTTATTAAATAGTAAAACTATGTGTTATTAAATAAAATTATATAATAAGATTACTTAAAAAGAAATTTATGAATTAATTATTATTGTGTAGTTAATGTAGTTGAATGTTTTTCTTATAATGATCGACCATTGTTAACCTTTTTTTAAATAAGTCCCCAAATCTAAAGTTGTTCTTAGATAAAACTGCTAATTCTATAAGTTCTCTTAAATATATCCCTCTAACTTAAAAGTTTTTAAAATACTCTAAAATAACTATGCTGCATTAATCTTGCTAGCTTTTTACTAATATTTCCTAGATAGTTACACTTGATATCAACAACATATTACAAAAGTTACTGCTCATTATAATTATTTAATAGGGTAAATTACAGTAAACCTATATGAACTTTCAGCCAATATGAACTTTTTAAAATTACACAAAACCCCTAATGACTTTACTATTTCAAAGAATTTACTATTTCAAAGAAGACCTCCAATAACTTTTTGAATTTTGTAGATAACTCCTATGAATTAGAACAAAAAATGGCATGAAAAAACATTTTGAAAGTTATTAGGCGTTTGGTGTAATTTATGTAAAAGGTATTGGGGCTTTCTGCAAAAGTCAATAAGGGTTTAGCGTGATTTTAAAAGTTCATAGGGTCTACTTACTGCAAAATACTAAAAGTTTATGGGGGTTTACTGTAATTTATGTTATTTAATATTATAATTCTTAGTTCAAATAATACTATTAAAATAATTATACTTTCTATATACTATAAAATATTTATCTAATTTAATTCGTTAATTATGCTCTTAAATAGTTTAGTACTATAAATATTTTATAAATTTTTATTATACCGTCATTAATAATTATAGCATTATTAATAATATTAAATAATTTTTTTTGTGAAAACGTTAGTTATCAATCATTACCAGTTTAAATTATTTAGTATCATATAATAATCTTTGAGAAAATTCTCTAAAAATAATATTAAATTACTTATTTAATTTATTTAATAATATAATACTAAATAAATAGTGTAATTCGTAATTTATGTGATTTATTAAAATAATTACATTATTTATGAGATTCAAATTTATTCTATTTATTTTATTGCTTATTGAATTATAGTATAATTGTTAATGTATTTAGTAATATATTATTCTATTTATACTATTATTCTACTTATTTTATTATAATTCATAATTAATTATTATAATAAATTAGTTGGTTACTACTAATAATTGTGTATACTTAGTTTATAAATTATTTTATTTTATTATTTTTAAATAATTAATAGTTATAATATTATTGATAATTCTAATTATTTAGGACGGTGAGAGGGTGCATAATTAATAAGTGGTTATATTTATTTAATAAATGGTTATATTTAGGAAGGTGAGGGGGTGCATAATTAATAAGTGGTTATATTTATTTAATAAAAGATTAATTAGAGATAATGACATGGATAGAATTTATTAAAATTTGACAGGGTAAAAAGGTAAATTAAAAATTTTAACAACCCAATCTCTTTTTATAGTAGTATAGATTTATTGGTATCTTTGTTAATTTAGTAATATTTTATGTAATCTTCAATTTTAGGCAAGATCTTCTTAGGATTTGATTTAGGATTGGTAGGATCTCTGAGATTTATTTTGTTAGAGATTTTTATCAGGATTTGGTTAGGATTTGATTTACCTTACAGATTTAGTTTTTCTGTATAAAAGAGTTGTAATCCTCTATGAGGAATTAGATTCTTAATGAAAGAAAATTTCTTGATATGTGAAATCTTTGTTTAGCATATGAAGTACTAAAATTATGACATGTGAAGTGTCAGGGCTTGATGCCCTTAGGTGTGAGACCCTTCTTATATCCTAGCCTTCTAATTACAATATACTTGAATCAAAATGATGGGGAACGATGTAAGGGCTTCGATTTGGAGGCCTAAATTATAAACGGCTTGGCGCAACGATAGCATAATTCATGACGAAGAATGATTAATATTACGGATCACTTGTGAACAGCATGGCTGCTATTTACCCCAGAGGAGTAATGGGGTGCTACTGTTCACCCGTGAATAGTGACGGGATTTTATGGGCTTTTTGGTGGTGTTTTAGGTATTTTTTTTATATTTTTGAATGACAGTGATCTTTTGATGAGAGGATAAATGGCTAAGATGCTTGACGAGTTAATTTTAATTGAAGGATATTGTAATTAGAGGGCTAGAATAAAAGACGTCCCTCACAACCTAGGGCATCACGCTCCAACACTTGACATGCCATAATTTTAGCACTTCACATTCTAACAAAAATTTCATATCGATGATAGCCAGGTTTGAGGATCTCTATGATACCAGGTTTGAGGATGATAGCCAGCTCTCTGAGGAAGAAGGGGGTAATACGATCTTAATGGGATCAACGGGACCAAAGGGGGAGAAGATGAGGAAATCGATGGCGGAGATCCTCAATACTTCCTCTAGAGTGCTGCAAACTCCTGTCAATGTGATCGGGGTTCAAGCTCCTGTCAATGTGATCGGGGTTCAAGCTCGCCAACTGAGTGAGTCTTCTCTATCTCAAAGTAGGATTTCTTGGGCAGAAGAGATTGATTTAGAAGAGGATATCTCTGGATCTAAAGCTTCTCAAGTTCAGATGAGTAATATTGATCCTGTCCAATTGATTTTTGACTCTAATAAAAAATCCACTACTGTTCCATTGAATCTGCATGAGGATGGTGAGGATGCTGCGAGATCTGAATCTATGAATCCTATTTTTAACAGAAATGCTAGTCCTCAGTTGAAAATGGGAACAAAAACCAGTGATGACTCTGATTTTCCTCCATTAGGTCCTCCAAAAGAAGCACCTATTACTGATAAAGAGAGGAAAAGTTAGGTAAGCTGTTTTGCAGATAATAGGAAGCTTGGATGTGGAATGAGTCTGAGTTTTCTACCATCTGAGGCTAAAGACAGTGTGTCTTTCAATGAAGAAGAATGGAATGAAGGAGCTTCTATCTGGGAATCCTCTTTGATTGGTCAGGTAATAGGACTGAATGTCAAATTTAAAGCAATGGAGAATTTCGTGCAGAAAATCTGGGCTCCTTATGCTATCCCTGAAACCTGTCTTCTCAAAGCAGGACTGTTTTTGTTTAAGTTCAAGAATAAAGATGAAATGAACAGTATTCTTAGCAATGGTCCTTGGTTCTTTGGTTCCAGACCTCTGCTGCTGAAAATCTGGTCAATAGGTGAAGAAAATATAAGGAATAATGAATGTTTATATCCTATGTGGATCCAGTTACCTTTTCTGAGACTTAATCTGTGGAATGAAAAGGCTATCAGTAAAATTGCAAGTACCATTGGAAGGCCAATAGCTACTGATAAACTCATTGCTAATAGGCAACGTTTGTCTTATGCTAGAGTGCTAATTGAAGTGAGTATGCCATCCCATCTCCCTGATCAAATTACTATACAAGACCCAAATGGAAAAAGTTTTAATCAAGCAATACATTATGAATTGAAGCCTAGATGGTGTGAAAAATGTAAGATGGTGGGTCATGAAACAAGATTCTGCAAACGGTTCCCAAAAACTCAAAGATGGGTACCTAAACAAAAAGAGAATCAGGGGAATCAAACAGTCAAACAGAAAGCTCAGGATGTTGTTCAGCAAGAGTCTGTAGGCCCTGATACTTCTATTCATGTGGTGCAGGATCTGACTGATAAAAATTTATCTGGGAATAGAGTAAAGCATTCTACCTCTATCCCCCAGGAAGGTGTACATGTTGTGCATGAATATCCTGTTCAGTGTGGCTCTATTGGTTTATCTACAGGAGAAACATCTTCTGGTAGTGTGCAAATACAAACAGAACATCTAAAAGAAATTATAAATGGGGTTCAGCAAGAGATGCCAACTAATGCCTCTGTGCATGTTGTGCAAACACTGTATGGTCCTGGATTAACAGATGCAACATCTGCTGGTAGGATGCATGTGCAAAATACCTTCTCTAGGAAAGTTAACAAAGGGAAAACCCCCTCACAATCTGGAATTCTCATGCAAAAATATATCCAAAACCTGAATCCTTTTTCTAGTATTTCTCCACATGGATTAGAAGCAGATCCCTCTAATGTTGATAGAGGGGGACAAAACAGATGAATCTATCATTTTGGAATGTGAGAGGATTAAATAGATCCTCTAAACAGCACTTGGTTAGAAACTATATTCTTCAGTATCATTTATCTTATATTGCTCTTATAGAAACAAAAATAAAAGAAAAAAACATTCAAGGAATAGCCAAGAAGCTTGCAGCTAACTGGAGGTGTATGTCAAATGTGAGGAATTCTGGCAAGGCAAGAATCTTGATTTTGTGGGATCCAAACATTCTTGATATCAATTTGGTTGCTTTCTCAGATCAACAAATAACATGCTCTGTAAAATCTCTTGATGGCAGAGTTGATTGCTTCATTTCTTCAATATATGGTTTCAACAATCAACTGGGCAGGAAACACCTCTGGACTGAGCTCAGTCAGCTGTGTTTTTCTATTGGCAACTCACCATGGTTACTATGTGGGGATTTCAACAGGACTGAGCTCAGTCAGCTGTGTTTTTCTATTGGCAACTCACCATGGTTACTATGTGGGGATTTCAACACAATGACAAGCAATGAAGAGAAAATTGGGGGTGTCACTCTATCGGATGCTGATACTAAGGACTTTTGTGAATTCATTGACAATAATCAGTTAGTTCATCTCAAAAATACTGGTTGCTTCTTCACTTGGAACAATAAACAAGAAGCAAATGCAAGGGTATGGAGTAGATTGGATAGAGCCTTGGTGAATGACACTTGGATCAACAGCTTCAACTCAAGTCATGTGGAATTCCTATTGCCTAGCTTTTCAGACCACTCTCCAGCCCTGGTGTCTATTTTGGAGGATTGCTTACAGGGAAAAAAGCCTTTCAGGTTTTTCAACATGTGGACTAAACATGCTAATTATCTATCAACAGTGGCTACTATCTGGCAAATGCATGTTGAAGGATATAAGATGTTTTCAGTTGTTACAAAGCTTAAAAATCTGAAATATGCTCTGAAGGATATCAATAAAAGACATTTTCATAATATTAGTGAGCAGGTGCTCAGGGCAAAGCAAAAACTGGAAACTGTTCAGACAAATCTGCAGCAAGACCATCTTAATTCTGCTCTCATTTCTCTAGAAAAGGAAAGCTTAGCCTCTTATAACAAGTTATTGGATTGTGAAATGTCATTCTATCAGCAAAAAGCAAGAATTGAATGGGGGGTTAAAGGAGACAGGTGTTCTAAATTCTTCCATTCTATAGTTAAATCAAAGAGCCATCACAATAGGGTCACAGTGATCTACAATAACTGTGGTGTCAGGATTACTGATGGAGAAGGAATAAAAAATGAGTTAATCTCTTTCTATAAAGACTTGCTGGGAACTAAGATTCAGAGAAAAACTCCTGATATCAACATTA